CATTATTTTTTATTAAAAAAAAAATCAAACCAGAAGATGTGACAGGTGGCAAAGCCATCGTGCATGAGGTAATTGTATCTCTGGGGCACTGAGACTCCGAGCCAAGTGTCTTTACTGCTTGGAACCGTTGGCTAGTAACCTTGTCCCGCCCCCAAAGACTGCCCGTGCAGGCTGGAGGCCTAATCACACGTTAACAGTGCGTGTGGCAGGGGCCCAGCGCAAGGGCAGCATGGTCACTTAGAGCCAGTGTAACGGGCGAAGCAAATGTCTTCCCGCTGCTAACTGGGCGATGGGAACCCGCGTGCTCCCTGCTCCGGCAGAGCCACGCTGCCCACGGGACGTCGGCGTCCTCCCCGGGCCTGCTGTTGGGCAGGTGCCTCTCCTTGTTGGCAAACACAAGCCCACGTGGGTGACCCTGGCCTCCAGGCTGGTCACTCTGTTTCCAAAGGCTGGCCCGGGCCTTCTTCCAGAAGCGCCTCAGTGGTCCCAACCGGGGTGCCCTGTGATGCAGACCACCGGCCCTCGCCGTGAGGCTCTCCCAGCCTCGGTCCATGGGGGTCATGAGCAAAAGTGGGTTCTTAAATTCTCCCATATGGAGAAAGCTGAATCCGGGTGTTCGCCCCTCCCAGGGAAGGACTCTGGGACTTGGGCACAGGGCAGGGGAGGCTGTTTGAAACGAGGTCCTAGTTCAGGCCTAATCATGGGCCGTGGGTCCTTCCGTGGCATCCTGGCACATTCTGAACCGGGAACGGAGCAGAACTTTCTTGTCCACTTAGGTACAAGTCCTGATGTACAAGCCTGGACACCGCATTTGAAGGCTGATGTTTTTGTTGTTGTTGCTGTTCTCAGGGGATTGTGAGGATAATTTTAAGTTTGCGGGGTCCAAAACGTTCCTCCCTTTTTACGACTGGCACATTCTACAAGTACTCAGCAGAACTGCTAGGTACCATGCCACTGACACACCTCGACTCAGGAAGGGCAGGGTATCGCTCAAGGGGCATCTGTCTGGAGACCACAGAACACTCCAGGCCCTCGGGGAGCTGAGCTCAGAACCCTCTGTAAGTCCCTTTGCATAGCGGGACCCCACTACATGGAAGCAGAGGGGCTCGGAGCCGGGAGAGCCGCTCCCGCTGTGTGAGGACGCCGGCTCGGCAGCGCCGGTGCCCTGGAATCGTGGAGCCGGGCCACACCCTGGGCCACCTGGCCTGTGGCGGACGCTCCCTCCTACTGGTTTCTAAACTCTCCTCAGACTCCGAAACGTCCTCTGAGCAGCAGAACGCCCGGCCTGTCCGAACGCGGCGCGCAGGGGCAGGGTGCTCACCAGACGTCCCGGCTCGCCCACCGTCGCCGCCCGGGTGAGGCGGATTCTCGAAGAAGAGCCAGAGTCACCAGCACATGGGGCCGTCAGAGCCGCGCCCTGGGCTGGGCCTGGGGTTCATTCCACCCGAGATACTGTCCGCCCAGGCCTCCCGGATGAACCTGCGGGGAGACTGGGAGGTTCTTCCCCGATTTCGAGGTTCAAAATTAGAGACCAACCCAAAACTTTTTTTTGCGTAGCTGCTCAACTTGCGTTTGTCATTATTTGACAGATACTTGAACTTCTTGGGAGCTATTTATATTTTCAGCCTCTCCCCCTTCTTAGGGTAATGAGCACCATATGTTTACTACCTGCTGTGTACAGTAGCATTTCCCTGATTTGTCCCAAATTTGCCTGTAACGTAAGTCGGGTGGCCCCGCAGCCGCACCGTGCTGACGGCACGTCTGACTCGGCGCCCTTAACTCACAGCTGGGATCCCTGCAGAGTCCGCCTGGCCCTTGTCGCCGCACGGCGCTGCTCCATCTGCCGGGTGTGGAGCGTGGCTGCCCCATGTCTGTCCGGAGCCTCCTTTGCTATTGTCCCTCCTGCTCTTCCACGGGACCCAATCTCTGTCCCCACTGGGTCCCCCAGTCTCTCACCCTTCGATACCAGGCTCAACTGCTGGCACTCAGCGTGGCCCCACGGTCACGCGGCGTTGCCCCATGCGACGGTGGCTCCACACCACTGGGCCTACGTGGCTGAACCCCGCCCTGGCTCGCCCCCGCGGTCGCTGCTCGCAGGCCACCAAGTCTGCCAAAAAATACAGGGAACCGTTCCGCAAGGCCGACTCCACATCCAGGCGTCGGTCTCCACTCCGGCTTGGGTGCCGCTCTTTCAGTGGCCTCTCGGCGACTCAGCAGCGTGACTGTCCAGCACTGTCCTCTAAGTTCCTACACCGCCTCACCCTCGCTTTCGGAGGCTTCTTGGCATGACCCCTGCCGCAGACTCCTTCATCAGAAACTTTTCTGACTCGTGTTCTTCATAAAACTGCGACAAGCTTTGAGAGCTAGAAGGGGCCCTTGGCTACCGTGTCCACGTGGACCTGCGGTGTGTGATTTCTCCAGTTGTAGGACACTTTCTTCGTAGGAGGCCTTCCATGGAAGCCCAGTACGTCCCTTCTGTGGTAGCCCCTGCAGGCGGTTTCCAGGCCTCTGCCGAGAGCACCTGGAAAGCTGTGGTCGGTCCTGGCCCCCTGCTTCCCAGAGGGAGGGGCCGAGACTCCGAGCGAGTGCTTTGGCCGAGGTCACAGGGCCACCAGGACCCCTGACGCAGGTCTCCTTTTCCATATTCCAGTTAGTCCCAGAGGCGGAGGAACCCCTCCTTCCGGTGCAAGTTCAGTGTCTCAAACCGTCTCTGACGTCAGCCTTCCCTTCTTCCGAAGCCACGTCTCCCGTAAGCCCTCGCGCTGGCTCCGCCTTCGGCCTGTCGCCGCGGGGACTGCTAGCCTTCCTGTGCCACCCTCCTCTTTGCGCTCTTCCACCCTCCCTCCACGCTCACCTGCCGAGGGAGCGCCCTGTCCTGGCCCGTGCCCCTGCCGAGCTGGACGCCCACAGCAGTCCCTCGAGCCCTGTGGAGCGGCGCTCCAGAACCCACGAATAGCGGTCCTCTTCTCTCCACCTGCAGCCCGGGCTGCCGTCCCCTCATCTCACACCTGGTCACGCTACTGCCGCTCACCGTGAGGGGCGCCTGGCTCTTACCCCACAGAGATCCTCCGGGAACACCAAACTAAGACTGGCTCATGCCCTATAGTCCCAGCTGCTCAGGAGTCTGAGGCAGGAGGATTGCTTGAGCTTGGGCATTCGAGACCAGCTGGGGCAACATAGCGAGACCCCGTCTCTAAGACTCAAATCATTAAGGTTCTACCAGGCCATGCCCCGTCTGCGGCCTCACCCCTGCTCCCCCTGCTCACACCCGCTCTGGCCGTACCCAGGGCCTGGAAACACGCTGGTGCCTCTGGTTGGAACATTCTTCCTCATTCTTCACCTTGGTAACTTATGTTCAGCCTTCAGTTCTCAGTTGAAATTTCAATTCTTCAAAGCCTTTCCTAACCTGCCCGTCTCAGTCAGGTCCCTCTGCGACTAACCTGACATTGCATTTATTTTTTCTTCTTAGCGCTCACCCCAGCGTCCAGTCCCCTCTCCATCTGCTCAGCGTCTCTGCCGCACTAGGTCACGCGCTCCGACTCCAGGGTGCCTGCTTCCACCCCTGCTGCGTGGCCATCGCCTGGCGCCCAGCTGGCAGCCCTGTCCTGAAATCCCTCCTCCCGGGGCCTCCAGGCCACGCTGCTGTTCTCCTAACGCACCGCATTTGTCTCGTCTGCTCGGTCGCATTCTCCTGTGCGTCGGGTTTGGCCCTGGTCTTCTGCCTTCAAGTCCTCTGTGAACAGCCTCGTCCTGTCACCTCTTTCATGGTGTTTATCCCGATAACCTCAAATGTGTGTCCCACCCCTGCCGTCTCCGTGACACCCGCAGATCCCCCCAGGGCCTTGCTTCAGATTTCACTTCTGCCTCAGTACCCTTTCATCCGTTCAAACTGTGCTGGCTCCTTCCTCTTCATCAGCCCCTGCCCACCGGCTCCTGCCCCAAGAAACCATCACGTGGCCCTGCCCCGCAGGGACCACGTTCATCCAGGTTTTCTCACTGCATAGCAATCCTCACTCGGGCCTCCTCTTATCACTAAGACTTTAAACCCTTAGCTTTAAAAGTGCGGGTCTCTGCCTGCCCCAGGCTCAGTCCTCTGGCTGCTTCTCCCACCAGAACGTCAGCAGAGTCTTATCCCACTGCTGTCTGGGGCGGGTGGGAGGCAGGGGGTGTGGAAAGACCAGGATCCCTCGAGTGCAGACGGTAATCCTGGTACCGCAGCTGGGCATTTCGCATGCACAAAGCAGACGCGTAAATGCGGGCGTGCACGGAGACGACAGGGCCCGTTCCTGCAGAGCTCTGAAGCTGGTGGAGGGCATCCTCGGAGGAGATGACAGACAGACCAGAGACTGCCAGCTTCCCCTCACGGGGGATGATCGCGTTCCCTTTCCAGCAGAGCCTCGTGCTCTCCTGAGATGCACTCCCAGTGACTTCCTGGTGCCAGCTCCCCAGTCCCTCCTGGTTGCAACTTGGGCCATGCCCCAAAGCCAGAGTCGAAGGGTCTTTGATCATCTTCTCTCCATCCCTCCTCTTGGAGTCAAGACAACAGAAAGGCCTAGAACTTACGGAGTTTGAAGCCTTTCTATATGTGTTTCCCTAGTGTTGCTATCTGGGGCCAACTTCCAGAAACTCAAGTGCTTGTTTTGCACGATTCCAAAAGAAGAGGGAAAAGGTTTGGACTGCTGCTTCAACATGTAATTAGCATCGTATTTTAACAACATTTTGACAATAACTGCTTCCCGACAAGGCTGAGAAATCTGCAGTGCAGACTCCCTGGTGCTGCTGTCAGCGTGAGTGATACCGAAGCCTGCACACCCTGGAAACGCGTCAGCCTCGCCTCCCCATCCCGTTACTGGCTCCCGGCGCTTCTCGGGGCCAGCACCGCCACGCAGCCTCACCTACCGCGCGTCCTCGTGCCCTCTGCCAGAGGCGGGGGGAGGGAATGGAAGCCGCTGCTCCGCGGAGGGAGCGACTCAGACTGGTCCTACTCAGCGCCTCTGTCTGCAGGTCCTCTCCGTGACCAGGCCGAGCTCCTCATACCCCAAGCAGCCAGCAACGCAGTTCCCACTCCCCACAGCGGAAGCCGAACAGGCCGGGGGCCTCCACTCAGGCCAGGGCGGCTCCTGACGGCACAGGGCCAACCCCTACACTCTGCGTCCTGAGGCGCCGGACTCTGGAAAAGCAGCAGCTCTTATCTGCCCACAGGTGACTCCGGTGGCATTTCGGGCACCCCTGCTTCTCTTTTGCTGCAGGTGAGGACGCTCGTGCCTATCATCTCCCGGAGCATTTTCTTACCATCTGCTTTTCTTCTGGGTCACATTAATCAGAATGTAAGCGTGGGGAGCAGGCCCGGGGACCCTCACCTTGCCGTCTCCTACGAGGAGGGGCGAAAGGACCAGGAAGAACGGACTTTGGGGCCACCCCCGCCCCCATACTGTGAATTTCCCTGAAGTGATGAAAAGGGCTCATGATCCCAGAGTCAGCCTCGCAGAAGAGCTGAAGACGAGCCTCAGCTGTGTGAGAGCACCCCAGGCCTCTGCTCCCCGCAGGGCTCCCGCCCCACGTGGCTGTTTCTTGCTGCAGCTCTGACTTCTGCCAGCTCTCTGACTCCCAGACTCCGCCTCCCTGCCCGCGCCCCAGGAAAAGCCCCAGCCCCTGGGCTCGCCGTGCCTACTCACGCCAGCCTGGCCCCGCAGTTCTCGCCCTCGATGTCGCCTCCAGCCACGTTTTCGGTGTTGACAGACTCGGTCTCGCTGGTGGGCATGCTCACTGCAAGAGTCAACGGGATGCAGGCAAGGTGTGAGGCAGGGAGAGAGAGCGTTAGTTTGCAACACACCCAATGCCGAGACCCAGTGCCGGCAGGAGGACAGCCTGAGCGCCTTGGCCACTGACCGGCAGGGTCGAGGCCTCCGCACTGGCCTAGCCATGCTCAGGGATCTCCTGGACTGACTGCCTGCCCTTGTCTGGGGGAGCTTTTGCTGAGGGGATGCTGCAAACCAGTGGGAACGTGGGAGGACATCTGGTGATCAGAGTATTTCACCTTAGCAGTAAAACGCTGACCACTGAATCCTTTCTCCACCTTCCATTCTACGGCCTCAGAAGAGCCGTGGAAGCTTTCCCGTTTGCTTCTGCTACTCATCAGAGAAAGAGGAGCTTTCATGAAAATATGGTCTTTCCTTTTCTTCTTTCCACCCACCAACTCTAAGGGGGTCCATCCCCGAGACTAGGGCCCAGCTCGCTGGAAGAAAGGGCACGTTGCCGCCTGCGTGGACGACCGCGTGGGTGCGGAGGGCTCCCCGTTTCTCGCAGGTGCTGGGCCCTGGGTCAAGTACATCTAGGACCCTGCCCAGGACAGAGAGCTCAGAGTGAATCACGGACTAAGACTCAAACTAGCACTGCAGACACCAGGAGTGAAGGAGGGTTGAGTGTGGAATCCACAAAACTAACTTTAAAGGTGGCCTAGAGACAGCCTGCAGGGAGACTCGTTCCCCTTTTAGCCGCCCTGATGCTCCTAACTCCGGGCCGATCCAGGGTGTGAGCCATTTAATTCCGCTAGAGCCAACTCGTCCAGGCCAGACCCAGCCTCTCCCCAAGGCAGCGGGGGCTGGATTTCTAGAACAGTGACAGTTTTCCAGCTCAGAACCCAGGTTTGTGGCTCCGAAGAAGCCATTTCGTTTTATTACTATATTTTTCTTCTACATAAAAGTTTGACTCAAAGAATTCTTCTTCACCCTCTATGCCCCTCTGAACATGACAGGAGTTCCTTAGTTTCGCCAGCCCTTGTTCTTAGAGTGGCCATCACATCATCTGTGCTGGCTCAGCTCTCCTTCCAGACAGCACTCCTCGTCTGCTGAGACAGTCGCTAGCCCTCGGCAGACACCGAATGCACACGCGTGCACACGCACACACACGCACACACACAACTACTGCAGCACCGGCCAGCAGAGAAACGCCCTCCCGTCCACTGCTGTAGGAGCCAACACACATTTACACACAGGGCACGGGGGAACGTTACCATGGGTTTCTGTGGAGTGACTAAACCAAGCAAACTTCCCTTTCTTCTGATCAAGCAAGCCCACTGTGTGCCTCCTTGCACAGACAAGATGATCAGTGTCAAGAACCAGGAACAAGACATCGACAGAGAACGTGCAGTCAGCCACGGGCAAAAGAAAGAAGCAAGGAGCTCAGCTTTCACACAGAACATCCGTTTCAATCTCCGAAAATAAACCAAAACAAAAAAAAATTAAAAAGCAATAAACCAAAACACACAGGAAAACATCACAAGATATAACTAAACCCCCAAATCACATGAATTAACAACACAGAACAGGTGACAGGCCCCGGGGGAAGGAGCTACTCCGGCAGGGCTCCGGCCTGCAGCCGTGGGTCTAATCAGTGACTCTGGGGAGAGGGCTTCTGAGGGCGGAGCTGCCGCTTGGCCATGCTGCCTCCTGAGGGGGTGCCCCTTGTACAGGCTCAGGTGGGTGACTGATAAAATCAAGCTGTGGCACTGGTGCCCTTCACCCCTCGCAACGGCCAGGTGACTTGTCTGCTCCCCTGCACCGGACCGCATTGCAGAATTCCACCTGCCGCGGACTCGGGCGCCCTTGCCGCCCACAGCTGGATCTTGTCACTTGCAGGTGGAAAAACAACCCACTGACTCACTGGCCCCTCCATCCATTCTATCATTCAATTCCATTCGTGAAGTCCTAGTGAGCACCTTGGGCCTGACCACATCCAAAACATAGCTGTATCTGCTTTCCATCAGTTTGAATGGGCAAAGGAGTCAAACTGTCATCCATGGGTGGTCTTCTGAGGAGATCTGTAAATAAGGGAGAATTCTGCCGCTGGGTCTGGGCTGCTGTTGACAAGGAGGGTGCCCTGGCAGAGTGTGAAGACCCCAATCACTGCATGGGGAGGAGGGGGCTCTGGATGCTGCATGGATTTTGAGTTCTGGATGCCAAATGTTTTAGCTGATTGCTCACAGAGAGTTTTCCCACTTCATCTGATAAAGCTGGCGTTGACAGCGTCTCTGCGCGGCCACCGCAGAGGGTGCTGGGAACGAGAGGCCCGTGAGGCACAGCCTCAACTTCTCAACATGGAGCAGCAGCTGGGGGAGGCGGGGAGTCTGCGGCTCCTCCCCGGGGGCACTGTGCCCTGACCAGGAATGGGCGAGTGGCACCCTCCCACCCCCCGCCAGGAAGGGGCGAGGGCAGGGCAAGCCGGGCTTTAGGAGTTTCTTTATTTCGTCCTGCTCTCCTGGAACTCATTATTTTCAACGAACTTCCTTGAATGTCGCTTTTTGGTGAGAATTCTGAACACTACTAGTTCATTACAGAAAAGGGCTAGGCTTACTTGTAACCTATGTAAAGGGTCATGTCTCAAACACACTCTTCTTTAAAATACAAAGTATAGAATAAACAGAAATGTCACAACTAGCAACATTTACTTGTTTACTTATCAAAAATCCTATATAAGGCCAGGCGCAGTGGCTCACGTCTGTAATCCTAGCTCTCTGGGAGGCCGAGGCGGGCGATTGTTTGAGCTCAGGAGTTCGAAACCAGCCTGAGCAAGAGCAAGACTCCATCTCTACTAAAATTAGAAAGAAATTAATTGGACAACTAAAAAAAAATATATAGAAAAAATTAGCTGGGCATGGTGGCGCATGCCTGTAGTCCCAGCTACCGGGAGGCTGAGGCAGGAGGATCGCTTGAGCCCAGGAGTTTGAGGTTGCTGTGAGCTAGGCTGATGCCACGGCACTCACTCTAGCTCGGGCAAAAGAGCGAGACTCTGTCTCAAAAACAAAAAAATCCCATATGAGAAAAGCACCGAGAGTTAGGAGCGGAAATGAATGACTTGGTTCAAGTTCTAGAGGGAGGTGTGTCTCCATGTGGAATGGTAACAGTCTCTAGTGTGAGAATCTCACAATGAACGGTCTTTGTTGGCAGCGTGGAGGGGAAAACGCTAGGCTCTATCTGTCCCCGTGGCTGGCTGAGGGCAAGAGCCCTGGACATCAAGACCTTTCGCGCAGAGGCATCATCCAGCTTCTGGTTTTGACATCCTGAGTGTGCCATCCTGTTCAATTTCAGAAGTAACCATACGATAACTTTAAAAGCAATAGGAAGAGCTTGATAAATATGCAGCCATCTAAATATCGCTGAATTTGACCAGGGCTGGTCTTTCATGGGGGCCAGGTTGGCAGCCACCTGTGTGGAAAGTGACTTGAAGATCCTCTCAGTCATCTCCC